TATGGAGCACTTTAGAAATTATTCTATCAGTAATGGGTATAATCACTATATTTTTTATATTCTCCTATTAAATTATATATTATTTACTCGCGTAGTACACTTTAAAACAGAGATTATGATTAATTTTGCAGCCAAGAAATTTATAATGTAGTCGAATCACATACTTTAAAGCTTTAACTATATAAAAATACACGGATCGATTATCCAGTGAGAATATATTTAATATAAAAAAAAACAATTAAAAATTGATAAAATTAGATTAAGCTTATTTTATTTAAATTATCGTTTAGGATACAATATTTGTTAAGAGATAAACATTATATCAAATATACAATTTTTAGTATAATATATTAAATGATATAGGCCTTATATTTACAGCAATACAGTAAATGAAATTATACGTGGAAGAACTTTAATGATATTTACAACACCAATCAACCACATGTATATTTACAGTAATTATAAAAGGAAATATAAGTATATATATGTAGATAAATTATTTATTCATCCGTTATTGTTTACGAATACAAAAGAATACTTTTAAAGTATTCATTCCTCGTAATATAGCATTATTTCTTTCCATTATTCGTTAATAAATTCTAATTTTTAAACGGTTAATATCTTTATATGAGGGGAAACTTTACAGTATTCGGCTAACGTACAGTACGTTATAAATTAGTTACATCCGCCTATAAAGTAAGGAGGGAAAAAAGTATAAAATAGCCAAATTTTAGCTACCATTATAAAGTATCGAGAGAATTAAATCAGGGGATGGTGAGCTTTCCGGGTTTTATTATATTCTATACTTTCCACAGGATCCTATGAGACATTTGGTAAAGAAGTTACTAGGAGAGATGAAATAAGATGGAGGGGTGAGTGACTAGGTTTTAGGCTAAGTTATATATTCCGCAGGGTGCTAGAGAGTATGGAAAATTTGTACAGATAGGTTTACAAGCGTATAAAAAAACAGGCAGGAGGACAGGCATTTTAAATGACTGTATAGTTTCCCCTCGTTCGATACAGGAAGTTAATTCTCAGAAGTTTAACTTCCGTTCGGATAAGAAATTTATTAAAAATTCTCCAACAATAAACAATTGTGTAAAATCTTTTATAGATCAATTATAGAACAAGATATTTCATTGTTTTTTTATGGTAGATGGGATGACAATCAACTACATCATACGCATAATATTTTAATAATCAATAGACGTTTATAATTGTCATTGATATGTTTAATTTCTTGTATTACAAATTTAAAGTTTTGTTCTTGTTTACGATCCGGCATAAAATGATAAAAGAGCATCATCATCATCATCATCCCTTTACAACAATCGTTCACGTCTAATTTTACATTGTTAACTATCATTTGTATATATTATAAAATGTATTTATTTCTTTTTCTAAATACCTATCTATCTTTTTTTTTCTTTTAACCGAGACAAATTACACGATTTCTGTGTTACCATCTCCTCGACTTATTTTAATTCGACTGAAAAAAAGACCAAGATCCGAACAGCACGGTGCCAAACAGGAGTCCAGTAGGGTGCGAACGTACTGACGTACCACGTAACAATTAATTTTAAAATGACGTAATGCAGGACCGGTGCACCAAATGTGTTGAAATGACAGACAAGCAAAACTACAACCCACAATTAAAGCAATTGGAATGGCACATAGAATGGTTAGGAATTTATAACAACAATTTTTAGTCCCAGTGAACACTCGAAATGCCGTCTTCCATACACAATTAATGGAATATGTACCGTCCGGTTCGGCTATAACATCATCGAACTCCACCTGAAAGAAGTGATTTTTTTGTTAATTTATAAAGTAAATTTAATATTTAAACTCGTAAACATATTCAAGGTTAAACGTGTTCTAGGTAACTTAGGTGTGTTCGGAAACACGTGATTACTTTTCTACGTTTTTTTACATAATTATCGCGTGACGTTTCGTTATAGAATTTATTCTACGTTCTAAATTACAAAAGAATTCAACGTTTTAAATGTATATATATATATATTTTTTAATTTTAATTAATTTTTTTAACCTCTTATAAAAACATGAATTGGATTAGNTCTTGATCCGTAAAATCGATCAAATTATCTCATTAATTGGCTTATGTATTGTATTTTTCATTGATTAAATTTTACAAAATAAATATTTAATCGACTCTAATTAAATATATAAATATTGTAAATGGATAATTGGCCTCAGAGACCCTGCCCTCAGAAGTGCCATACACTTTTACATTTCTAAAAAAATGCGAAAAAAAATTATTTTTTTGCAAATATTTTGGGGCCCCATTACTGTAATAACTCTTTTCCAAGGCCCTGCAAAACTTCTGGATTCGATTGATGGGCAACACAACACATAGACGATCTGTCAAGGGGTGGTGTTTCCTGAGAGGACTTTCTGTAGGAAACGGGCTCCTATCTATATGTTATACACACAAAGAAAACTTGGAAACTCTGCGTGACCAGACCATTATTTATGCTCTAACCTGGCTTAGTGAACAGAGTGGCTCTTCTTACCAGGGCTCCTTCCCGCTCTGCCACTGGTGAGCAGAAGGGCCCTGGTCTTTCATTTACGAGGCTCTCAAAAATGTTAGTTAAAAGCTATTGTTCTATTATATTTAATATATCTCATGTCATATTGAACATCTTCAAATCTTGAAGAAAAGTTATCTACATACTTGGATAGTGTTATTTCCAAAAATGGCGACGTAGAAATGGACGTGAAGTGCCGCATCGGAAAAGCGGCGATAAACAAGACTCTTCTGGTGGATAAACAAGATCTGGTCNAGAATAATACAATACTATAAAATTACAGGAGGAATTCGCCTATTTGTTTAAAAACAGTATTTCGTCAATTAATTTCTAGTTATTTTTTATAATTATAACTTCATTCTTCAAACAATTTTAAAGGAATAAGATTTTTTTTTTACTACATTTTCGGTGTTAATTTTTTTTTCTTTCTAACTTTCTCTTCTCTCAACCCAATCGGTTTAAATATAGTCTACTATTAAAATATTCCCATTAATTTCAAAAATCTACGGACAATTGTTTAATATTATACCTCTATTTTTAAGTGGACACGGTGTATTTTACTTTAAACTAATGTAAAAATTAAATGCCAAACAAATAGCAAAGTAAGAGATAATAAAAAAGCCTTAAAATGACTAGATTTACAACGTATATAGGTCTTGTATTTGGCTAAACTATAATGGATTTGGTAATAAGCCAACGACGTGTAATCTCACAGTGGCATTTAGAAAAACTAAAATGTTTTATTTGCATAGAGTTTTGAGAAATAAAGTTTAAGTAGGTAATTGGTAGTTTCAGTTCGTCTTAAGTTATGGCAACGCAACATTTGGGCGATCTGCTTAGGAAATGCTTTACGGGAGGTCTTTTTAAGAGAAACTGGACCCCTATTTAAACGTTACAAAGGTGGAGAAAAATCGGAAATCTCTACGTGATCAGCTCGTGCGAGAGAATAATGAACCCACGATCGAACTCCCAGTGTCCAGGGAACGAAGATTGCTTGGCTACTGGTGGGATCTCTAATTCTGAATGTCAATCCTCTTAAATACAAAGATCCAACATCCACGTTTTTTCACGTATTTCCTATCAGAAAATTGAATAACAAATTCATAGAATCTTCTGAAGAATACAACTATCATTATCATGTGTTATTACGTTTAATGTGGTAAAATAAAACATAGCTATATGAAAGCGATTTGCTAAGGAAAAACTTTCTATAGAAAAATCTCCTATGTAACTTACACACACGAAAAAAAACCGGAAATCTTTAGGCATTGATTCGGGTCTGGATCAAACGAAAATCCAAATCCAACCACTACCGTTCGGTAGATTTATAATTTCGGCTATTGATGCGCACCTATCATGACCACGACAACATACAGTAGAAGAAGCATCTATGAAAAACATTCGCTTGTATTCAGTCAAAACAGGTCCGTGCGTAGTGTTTATTAAATGCAGGGCCGTTCCTAGGGTATCTGCCGCCCGGGTGCGAGAATAATTTTGCCGCCCCTTCCCCCAAAGTTGTTAAAAATTTACAAATAAAAAAGATTAAGTAAATTTAAGTTAAAAAAATTGTACAAATATACACAGTTTATTTAATAGAATATAATGTTACAACTTATTTGTAATGTAATAAAGAAATAAATACATAATTCATACATACAGGCAAGGATGCTAACATATCTACTATTTCTACTAATAAGTTATACAGTAAAGTTTGCTTTTCTAGCCTTTTTTAANTAATTATTTATATGGATATTTATAAAATTCTCAAATAAAGAAAGTAGACGTCTTTCCATACATACAACCGAGTAGTGCGGGGAAGAATGCTTTACAGGATGCTAAAATATATTAGGAGTGGGGGAAAAAACATTATTTTAAGATAAATTACCATAATTTTCGAAGAAAAAGCTGTAATTTAGAGTAGGGAACGTATAGGAAAATATATTTACAATTTATCTTTTTTTACTATTCGATCAATGTAAATTAAAATATCAATAACAATTGCATTTAGGTCAGTTTTAAATTCGCATTATTTAAATTACGTTGGCAAAATATAACCCCGAAATTAATCTTATAACCATTATAAAATGCTCTTTTATAACTTCATATAATAATAGTGCCAATTCAGTAGGGATAGCGTGGTAAAGATCTATAATTTTGATCAAGCTTCAACCTCTATACTAGCTAGGTTATAGTTAACACTATGCAATATCATTAATAGGAAAAGGGAAATTAACATGCGATGGTGGTCGTTAGAATGTCTGTCTGTAACCCTCTAGAGAACAACGACAGTAAATGACATAAATTTAATGGTCATGTTACAAACAAAGCTTACCTGTAAGTAATCGTTGAGTGCATTAGGGTCACGGTTTTGAAGATTAGGGGTCCCTGTTGTGTTAGGCATTTTAGAGGCAGGGCCGTTCCCCTCGTTTCCCTCCACAGCAAAGACGGACGCCGTTTTGAATGGAATAATCGCACAACTCGAAACGAAAGATCAGAACATCGCAGCTCAATCTACCTATCCAGGTATGTCACTAGATACGTTACCATAGTAACCTAGTCGATACATATCATTCATTCGTTAGCAAATTCGTAAAAACTACGGTGATTGGTCGAGAAATATATGACGTCGAGATGCTACAGGTGAAAGATTTGTCTGAAAAATTAAAAAAAAAAAAAAAAAAATAGTGCATCAATTAAAATGGTAAAGATATAATTTCTTAATTAAATCTAGTAAAAATATATCAAAGATTTAATTTAATTAGAATCAATTTTAAATTAAAAAATTATTATAATAGAATGTCTGTACGTCTGTCTATTCTCTGTACACATTTAAAACCGATCTGCTTCGAAATTTTCATAGTTATCTCTAGAACACTGCGAAAAATATAAACTACCATACATCACTCCCCTTGATTTCATATTCCATTAACCCCTAAATTCTTTGACCGATCAGGACCAAGTGTTTTTGAGTTAGTCTCTGGAATCCCGCAGAAAATATTCACCCGTTAATTCCCCTATTATCCCCCCATTAACTTATAAATACGCTGCCTGATCTGCACCAAATTTTTCCTACTTACTCTCTAGAACCCTATAGAAAAAATATAGCTTAAAATAACGACACCCCCCAATTAAATTCCCTTATAAATCTTAAATCCTTTAACCGATTTACACCAAAATTTCCATTCTTCCTTTATAAAACCACACGGAAAATACAAGACATTACCATCCTATAAACTTCTATAAGTGGAACGAACAGAGTTAAATTCAATATTAAGAAGTTCTCGTACAATTTTTTTCCAGTTTAAATTACAAAAAGTCTACTAAAAATTAATTAAAGAAGAATTTAATCGTTCCAAATGGTAATGTCTTTACGAGAAGACGTATGGAAATTTCCTATATTATATTTTAAAGTATGAAGTATAATATCAGAAATATGTCAGAAATTGATCGATTAGATTAACGTTAAAAGAATTTATCAAAGAATTTAATACTTAACTCATTAATTATTCTAATTGTAATTTAATAATTCACAAATCTACTCAACGAAACTTAAAAGGGGGAGGTGGAGGCGGGTAAAGGAAAATTTATAGGAAAATACGTAAAGAAGACGAGGATATTTGATTATAATTATTAAAAATTCATCGAGTTAAATCCAAACTAAATTTGTTTAATTAATTATCTTACTTAATAAACTTTAAATAAATTATCGTTTAATTAAAATATGTCATTAATTTTAATTTTGCTCTTCTCTTTATCATCGTCGTCGTCATCGTCTTCGTTATATATATAAAAAAAACATCAAATTAAAATTGTTTTTAATTTTTCTAATTTAAAAAAAACTTATTTTAAATATTAAAAATTTTATATATAACATTAATTAATGAAATTATACTATATGCGGAAGGCATATCTAGAAATATAATGGTTTGGTGGGATGTGGGGCAAAAGGGTGCCTTTTGGGTGGACTTTCTATAAGAAACAGACACGTATTTAGATGTTAGACACGTAAAGAAAACCGAAAATATAAGAAACACACACGTATTTAGGTGCTACACACGTAAAGAAACTTAAGAAACCACTCGGTCAGGCACGAATCCACGATCATTTAGCAGTTGTTCTGCGGTTTTAGCCACTCGATCATTGATGAGCACATGTCCAATTTGACTAGGCTAATACAAGATTGTACAGAGGATGTTAATAATAACGGGGGAAATTTTTGAATTGAAATAACATTAACATCTATACATAGTTAATAGGGACCTCCTGCCCTTAAAACCTTTCCATTTCTGGTCTCGGCTTTCATCGTTCTCGAGATTAAGGAAGGAATTTATAGGTCTACAGTTTTTTAAAATTGCAGCAAAATAACCCGTAAACAATAGCTAAAAATCCCATTTTTAACCTCTCAACAACTGCCACTTCCCTTAAAATGACAATTAGAAGATAATAATTTACCGTGCAAAATTAGTCATTGTCGATAAGACGGTTAGTGTGACTTTACACGCGGTCTTAATTAAAAAGTTTTAACGAAAATAATAATTAAGTTTTAAGTGTTTTTAGAGCACTTAAAGAATTTCTTCAAATACTTTAATTATCACCGCCGACAGAGGACATTCTTCCTTCTTCACATATTTTAATATAAGTCTTAGTCTACAATAAAAGATCGATCTACGTGTGTTTCTTGGATTTCTCTACAAATTAAACAAGGAATTTTGCATTAAAAAAATTATATTATGATCTTCTAAAACGAAGTAAATTGAGTGTTTTCTTCATTTTATACGACACGCAATTTTCAGTTCTTCATCTCGATATTAAGGACAGACAAACAAACGGACGAAGATAGTGGGAATGTATAGATCTTCTGAAAATAGTAGACCAATAAAAGCACTCATACATTTATAGTACTACATAATTTTCTATATATTGCCCCCTAATTTCTTAACCTACCCCTCTAATGATTTATATCTGGCTTTAAAATTATAGGCTTCTTTATATTAATTATGTTACCACATGCATTTTGCCATTGATTGTTGCTTACTTCGCTTATGATAACACACGACAGTAATTAACAGTCAACGGAAAAACGAACGTGCTTATTAATTATTAAAGCAACTTCTCAAATAAACTTCAACTTTCTACTTGATAAGTAACAAGAGTAACGCTTTCTTTTGTCAATCGGTCACTAATTTAAGAAAATTTTTAATGAAATTTGCATTAAACTGATGAATTTTTATTGGATCTTTCTATACAACGTGGATACCTTTCTGGATTTCTATCCCCTCCTCAGCAAATTATAGCCTACATACAAAATTATAGCAATTAAAATTAATTTTAATGCTTTAAGGTTACGTCTTAACTTCATTTGTAACTTAATTATCATTTTCTTAACCATTACCACACTAATATTTGGTCGCGGATTCGACCCTCGCCAGCGGGCTGGCCTCTTGTTTTCTGGGTTTTCTTTACGTCTAACAGTTAGACGTAAAGAAAACCTATTTAGATGCTAGATTCTAGAACCTAAATGGGGATCAGTTTGCCACAGAAATTCCTTACTAAATAAATTTAAAATAAGGCACGAATGAAAATCAGTAAGTCACAAACGAAACCGCATTAACTCATTATAAATAGAAGTACAATCAAACTTAAATATAGGGCCACCAGCCGTTCTCTTCCGAGAATAGCACTAAATCGAATGTGGCGCTAAACCGAAAGGACCTCGATCAATTATCGGTACATAAAACAATGGGATCTATACACAAGTTTGTAAGTCATGTGATTTGGTAATAACACTAGAGGAGAAGGTGGTATTATGGAACCCCAATTACATTTTAGTGAATTGTAAACAAGGTATCATAACTACACCCACACTTTTTGTGCGAAAAGTACCGGTAACTAGTAAACTAAATGTTCTTAATTGGATTTTTCGCTAGTGTAACTATAAGTATGGTTTTTGAAGGCTTTTGTACAAAAAGTCCGAAAGTAGGCTTAGAGAAAATCGGGTGGTAATATGGAACCTTACTGTATATTTTCAAAAAAAT